CTCGACATGCTCGACCGGGTCTACCTGGGAAACACCTGAGGGAGCAGCACCCTAGGGAGGGAGGGGGTCTACCGACGGGACACCTGGGGTGAGGAAGAGCGGCGGGGGGGGAGCGGGGCAGTGCGGTAGGGGAAGAGACGGGAAAAGGGTACCGACTCGTCAAAGGTGACGTCCTGAGAGGGGAAGACACGGCGCGAGGTGGGGTGGTAAAACTGCCAGCCAGGCGCGTCAGGAACAAAGTCAAGGAAGACACAGGGAACGGCACGGGAGGAGAGCTTGTCCGCGGACGTATCGCGGACAAAGGCTCGACATCCCCAGACTCGGAACACCGACGCATCGCCAACCTCCCCCGTCCAACGCAGGGTGGGCGAGGTCTCCGGAACGGAGACACGGGGCCAGAGGTTGAGCTGATGCGCGGCGTACTGCACTGCAAACGGCCACAGGAAATGGGGGGCAACCGCATGGATCATGGAGGTACGAGCGACCTCCATGACTAGACCAATGCGGCGCTCAGCAACCCCATTCTGCTGCGGAGAGGCCGGGAGAGTGAACGTCTGGCGGATGCCGTGCTCCGCAAAGTAGGCTGCCAAGAGGTCAGAGGAAAACTCACCACCTCTGTCAGAGTGCACACGCAGGACAGGAAAGTCCGACTGGAACCGCTTGCGGAGCTGGAGACGAGCAGCGCGGATCCAAGGGATCAGGACATCAGGGGCCTCACCCTTGGTACGCAAGGGGAAGACCGTGGTGTAGCGCATGTAGTCGTCAACGACCAGCAGAAAGTACCGCTCGTGGCCCTGTCCATGGACGCGGGCTGGGCCCCACACGTCCAGGTGGAGAGTCTGCAGGGGAGCCTCTGTGGGAGGGAACGAGGAGGAGTGAGGAGCAGCGCGCTGCCGCCCCTCGACACAGGGAAGACAGGGAGGAGCAGGCGAGGGTGGGAGGGGAGGGAGAACCCTGGGAAGACCAGACACAAGGTACCGGGAGTGCATGCCGCGAAGGCGCTGCACTGACGGGTGACCAAGGCGGTGGTGCTAGAGGACAGTCCGGTGCGATAGGGAGCGACACGAGCAGGGGGCCGACAGCTGACCAGACGCAGACGCAGACGCAGCTACCTGAGGGGACTCAGTGGTCAGTGTGTACAAGTCCGACCCCGGCTGCCGAGTGAAGGTAGCCAGGTGACGACCCGTCTGGGCACACGTGCAGTGCGTCACACGCTCGTAGGCAGGGGTGAACTGGCGAACACCTGCGTCCTGGAGCGCGGAACCCGCCACCAAGTTCGTAGAGAACGAGGGGAGGTAAAGGCCCGACAGCATGCCAGACGGGACAGCAGGACAGGGGAGGGCAGTGGTGGAGGTCGCAAGGACCGGACCCCCTGAGGGGTCAGCCAGGGAGACAGCAACTGGTCTAGGAAGCTGCTCTAGGGCAGTGCGGTCGCGAAAGAAACAGCGGGAAGCACCTGAGTCCAGTGTGAAGGTGTGCAGTGCCTCAGTAGATGCGGTACCAGCAGACGCAGACGCACTAGTACCAAGAGCAGCAGCCTCACCAGGACCTAGGGCAGCAGACGCACGAGCACCTAGAGCTGCAGCCTCACTGGTCCCAATACCCGGGTCGGGCGGTACACGCAGGTAACAGTCACCCTCAACACTAATAGTCAATGCATACATAGCAGCAAGGATAGCATCATAATCAAGAGCAAAGATATCAATTCCCTTCTTAAGCAGATCAGCCCAGCGGGGCAGCTCAGAGGCGTCAGGAAACTGCTCGCGCCAGGCGTCGTCAAGGCGAAAGAAACAGCGCTGCGCCGTGTGAAACCTCCCACAAGTCTGGCCAGTGCGGTCACCTGTGCGGATGACGTACGGGCAGGTACCTCCACCCCCAGACCCCCCACGCTGAGAGTACCACTCACGGAGCTGCTGGGGCGACTGGGGCTCGCTGGGACGCTGCTGCAGCTGTCTCTGGCCCCCGCCGAACCCGCCACGCTGCACTGCTCCACCGCGCCCGCCACCAGCTCCACCGCCGCCGCCACTGCCACCACCACCCCCGCCACCTCCACCACCGCCGCCGCCACCACCCCTGGCTCCGCCACTGACCCCCCCACCACCAGCACCACTCCCACCACCGCCGCCACCGCCGCCGCCCCCTCCACCCCCTCCACCACCACCTCCCCCGCCGCCACCTCCGCCACCCCGGCCCCCCTTGCCCCTGCCGCCCTTGCGCCTCCCACTGGGAGCGAACGCAGCTCCGGCCCCCTCAGCACCGAGGAAGTCGACAGCAGCAGCAGATGCAATAGAGGGGAGAAGGGGGGAGGGGGAACATCCCTCAAAGAAGGGAGTGCGAGGGTCGCCACGAGAGGCACCTACAGCTACAATGCTTTTCTCAGCTGCAAGGAGTTCCTTCTCGAGCAGGTCGACAGTGAGATCGGTGGGTGAGAGAGCGAGAAAGTGGTCCCTGACAGAGCAGAGAGAGTCAGGGAGGCGAGTGACGAGGTGGTAGAGGGTGAGGTACATCGGGGGAGGGTTCTTGGCTAGGAAGTCGGGGGGGAGCGCGGCACGGTAGCGGAGATCACTAGTACGAAGGTGAGTGATGAGGTCAGCTACAGTGGCCAAGGCAGACAGATCCGGGAAGAGATAGGGCAGCGAGAGACGGCCTATCGCAGCAGTAGCAGGGGAGGAGTAGCGGGCAACTACAGCATCATACAGCTCCTTAGCGGTCTTATGCTGGCCGAAGTGCTCGCGCTCATCTAACGGCAGGTGGCTGCGAACGGTTAGGCGAGCATGGGCGTCACGAGTCTGCCACTGTGAGCGAGCAGTACTGTCAGCCGTAGCAGCAGGTGCGGGAGCAGCGCCGGACGTGTGGTCATACAGGGAAACGTCGTCCTTGGCAGTGATATGGAGGAACAGGTGCAGGTCATCGAGCCAGACATCAAACTTAATCGGTCGGCCCTCAGCGTAAAAGGTGAGAACAGTAGGACTAGCCATAGTGGCAGTAGCAGTAGCACCAGTAGTCGTAGCAGTAGCAGCAGTAGCAGTAGCAGTAGCAGTAGTAGCAGTAGCAGGAACAGGAACAGTAGTTGCTGCAGGTGGGGCGGCGCGGCTCGGTCAGGGCGGCGCGACTCGGGCGGCGCGGCTCGGGCAGGGCGGCGCGGCGCGGCTCGGACTAGGCTACGCGGCACGGCGCAGCGGTGGGCCTGCTCTAGGGCGGCTTTAGCGGGCGGTCCGCGGTTGTGCGTGGGCTGCAGTCGCGCGCGGGCGGCGGCCTACGAGGGCGACGCGGCGGCCTACGGGCGGGGCTGCGACGCTCTGGACGGCCAGAAGGGCCGGTCAACGGGCGGCTAGCGGGCTGCTCGTGGGCGGCGCTGGTCGTGCGGGCGGCTAACGGTTGGCGCGCGCGCAGAAGAGGCCGCGCGCGGGCTGCTAGCGGGCTACGCGCGCTAAAAAAAAAGGCCGCGCGCGGCAGTAGCGAGCTGCGCACGGGCAGCAGGAGAAGGAGAGGCGCACGAGGGCGCACTAGGAGAGAGGCGCTCGAGGGCGCTAAGTCATTAAGGCGCTCGAGGGCGCTAAGTCATTAAGGCGCTCGAGGGCGCTTCTAGCGGAAGGTGGGCCCTTAGGTAAGCGATCCTACGCTCTTAATACCATGTCAGAAACAAGAAGTGATGAACTAGAAACATTTGGGAGTACAAGTATGAAACCCTAGAGAAATGTACCCCCTAAAGGCTAACCCACTGTAGCCTACACAGTAGTAACATATATAATGTTTGACAGCTCTCCCTCCTCTTCTCCTGTTCATCTGTCCCCTTTCCTCTCTCCTTTGTCATCTTTCCTCCTTCCCCGTGTTCCGTTGCCAGCTTCCCCACCTCTCAGCTTCAACCCATTGTTTCTTTCACACTTTACATTCAGAGCTCCGGTCCTTACAATGTCATTCCTCTTTCCTTTTCTTCTTTATCTCCCCTCGTTCCTTCTTTCCTCAAGCCTCCGTTCCAGCTCACCCTCATCTCAGCTTCACTCCATCGCATCACTCAGAGCTCACACTCTCACAGCATCACTCAGAGCCACGACCTCTTCTTTCTGTTTTCGTCATTCTTTATTCCTATTTCGTCACTCCACTAATCTCTTTCCTCCTTTTTCCTAAACCTTGTGTCCCTGCCAGCCCCCCTTCCTCTCAGTCTAACTCCACACTCTCACAGCACGCATCCTAAGTTCCGGACTCTTCTTTCTTCATTCATCTTTCCTCTTTCTTCTTCCTCTTTCATCCTTCCCTCTTCCTCTTATTCCTTACCTTGTCTTTTCCAGCTCCTCCTCCTCTCAGCCTCAGTCCATCTCGTACACTCTCACAGCATCCCTCGGAGCCCCGGTCTCTTTTTTTCTGTGTTCCTCCATCCTTCTTCCTTTTCATCGCTTCATTTTTCTCTTTCCGCATTCCTCCTTCCCCTTCCTCCTTTCTCTCATCTCCCTGCCAGCTCGCCCTGCTCTCAGCCCCAGTCCATCGCCTACACTCTCACAGAGCTCCACTCTTCTTTCCTCTTTCCTCACATATCATTCCTCTTTCCTTTTGCCTCCTCCCTCCCTCCTTCCTCCTTCCCCCTGTCTCCCTGCCAGATCGGCCTCCACTCAGCCTAAGTGACTCATATCGCCCACACTCTCACAGTAGCACACACTAAGAGCTCCGCTCTCTACAGTGCCGTTCCTCTTTCTCTTGCTTCCTTGCGCCTCTCTCATCGTCTTTTCTCCCCGTTCCCCCCTGCAAACTCGCCCTCCGCGACCCTCGGTCCATCGCCCACACTCTCACAGCTCTCCTTTCTATAGTGTCGCTCTTGTTCTCTCCCCCTTCAGCCATAGAAGCTTGTAAGGCGAGCTGCAGTATAGAGGAAATATTTATTAAAGGATTGACAAGCTTAACTAGCTTCCATGTCTCCCTGCCAGCTCGCCCTCCTCTCAGCCTCAGTCCATCGCCTACACTCTCACAGCACACACTCAGTGCTCCACTCTCTACAATATCATTCTCTACAAGAACGTCCCACTGACACCACCACCACCACCACCACCACCACCACCACCTCCTCCTCCTCCTCCTCCTCCTCCTCCTCCTCCTCCTCCCCCTCCTCCTCCTCCTCCTCCTCCTCCTCCTCCTCCTCCTCCTCCTCCCCCTCCTCCTCCTCCTCCTCCTCCTCCTCCTCCTCCTCCCCCTCCTCCTCCTCCTCCTCCTCCTCCTCCTCCTCCTCCTCCTCCTCCTCCTCCCTCCTCCTCCTCCTCCTCCTCCTCCTCCTCCTCCTCCTCCTCCTCCTCCTCCTCCTCCTCCTCCTCCTCCTCCTCCTCCTCCCCCCCCTTCTCCTCCTCCTCCTCCTCCTCCTCCTCCTCCTCCTCCTCCTCCTCCTCCTCCTCCTCAGCAGCAGCATCCCAGAAGTGGAGATCAAGAAATGAGGCAACAAGATACAAGGACGCAGCAGGAGAGAAGGAGAGAAGGGCAAACTGGGAGCGGCAGCAACGGAAGTGGGGGCAGCAACACAGGGGGCAACAGTAGGCCATTCCTTTCCAGGGCAAGGACCCAGTCGCATTAAAGTAGAACACACCTTAAGCTCAAACCCAAGGGCAATGTCAAGCCGTCCCCTAAGCCCAGCCGTGCACCAAGGCGTGAAGGCTTGCGGGTAGGTGGAGGTGGGGTTGTTGTGCCGTCAGGGGATGGTGTGATGGAAGCAGGAGACACTGAATATGGCATAAGTGGCGGTGCGCAAACAGAAATTGTCAAGCCGTTCCCTAAGCCCAACCATAAACCATGGTGGGAAGGCTTGTGGGCAGGTGGAGGCAGTGGGGTTGTGCTTTCAGGCCTGGTGATTTGAACCTGCTGCAGCATGATTTGAACCTGCTGCAGGAGTGTGCAGAAGTACCCTACTGTAGCAGGAGGTTTCCCTCCTACAACTGTCCCAGGATTTGAACCGCTGCTGGAGTGTGCATGCAGGAGGGTTTGAGCCAGGGTCAACCTGATATACCTGCTGTGTTACTAAAAGATGCTATACAAACCGAGGGTGGTGGTTGAAGCTAACCTCTTGGATGATGTTACTGTCGAGAGTAAAGGGAAAGGTTGGCATGAGTATCGAGAGAGTTGGGTACAACTAACAAAAAACCTATACCCTATATTAGCTACCCCACTAAAGCCTACAAATCATTATAACATAGGCATATAATTTGACACACCCCCATATCATTAAGTGCCTTGGTGAATATATCAGCAGTGTTGGCCCGAGTGGCCACGTGAGCAAGACGAAGCTGACCACGCTGCTGCAACTCTCGAGCCAGAAAGTAACGCAGAGCGATGTGCTTCGTTCTGTGCTCCAGTCTGTGCTCCTGACACAAGGCAATGGCGGCCTTGTTGTCTACGTACAGAACCGGAGGAGAACGAGGCCGCTCTCCCAAGTCAGTCAGCAGGTAGGTGAGCCAGTATAATTCCTGTGCAGCCATGGCTGTGGCGTAGATCTCAGCCTCACAACTGGAGCTGAGAACAAAAGACGAGCGTGTAGACCCGCCAGGAAAGAGAGTCGGAGCCAAGGCTGAAGGTGTAACCCTGTGACGACCGCTGAGTAGCCAGGTCGTCAACCCAAGACGCGTCAGAGTGTCCAATGAGGACAACGTCACCCCGTCCTCCAAGCACGAGCCCCATGCCCGATGTACTGCACAAGTAGCGCAGTACCCTCCTAGCAGCATCCATGTGCACCTTTCGGTGCCTACCAGGAGCCACGTAGCGAGCCAGAAGGCCAAGAGGGTACGCAAGGTCAGTTCGAGTGCAGGTCATCAGGTACATGAGGCAGCCCACTATCTCTGGGTACGGACCACTCGGCTCTACGGACTCGTCCGAAGGTGGAGCTGAGAGCGAGTGGCCTGTAGCCAGAGGACTGGGCTGTGGCGAGGACCAGGTGAAGCCGTGTTAGAAACTAGCACTGAACGAGAATGGATGAAACTAGGCAGCAGGGTGATACAAGTAGGAAACCCTAGCAATGTTGTACCCTCTAAGGCTAAACCCACTATAGCCTACACAATATAAACATGTATAATGTTTGACACACCCCCATAGGCTAAGTGGGAGACAACCAGATGGTCACAGGACCAGTCAAAGCAAAGCAAAGCAAGCTCAGGGTGGATCTCAAGGAAACCACACAAACACCGAGCACAAGCAAGCGGTCACAAGACCAGTTCACATGCAGTTTGATAATATAACAAGAGGTACAGTGATCACAACCTAGCAAGTGTAAGCATGCAGGTATATATATATAGAGATCACAGTACAAGTAAAGTCAAGAAGTAAGCAAGTGAGGCACAGTAGGCACAAGGCCTAGAACAGTACAGAAACGCTGATGATCACAAGGCTGAAGCGCCTTGGTGAACACATCAGCAGTGTTGGCCCGAGTGGCCACGTAAGCAAGACGAAGCTGACCACGCTGCTGCAGCTCTCGAGCAAGGAAGTAGCGCAGAGCGATGTGCTTCGTTCTGTGCTCCAGTCTGTGCTCCTGACACAAGGCAATGGCGGCCTTGTTGTCGACGTACAGCACTGGAGGAGAACGAGGCCACTCTCCCAGGTCGGTCAGCAGGTAGGTGAGCCAGCGTAACTCCTGTGCAGCCATGGCTGTGGCGTAGATCTTAGCCTCACAACTGGAGCTGAGAACTGAAGTCGAGCGTGTAGAACGCCAAAAAACTGAACCAGAGCCAAGGCTGAAGGTGTAACCCTGAGACGACCGCTGCGTAGCCTGGTCGTCAACCCAAGAAGCGTCTGAGTGCCCAGTGAGGAAAACGTCGCTCCGTCCTCCAAGCACAAGCCCCATGCCCGACGTACTGCACAAGTAGCGCAACACCCTCTTAGCGGCATCCATGTGCTCCTTCCGGTGACGGCCAGGAGCGACATAGCGTGCTAGGATGCTAAGAGGGTATGCAAGGTCAGGTCGAGTGCAGGTCATCAGGTACATGAGGCAGCCCACAAGCTCTGGATACGGGCCACTCGGCTCTACGGACTCATCCGAAGGCAGAGCTGAGAGCGAGTGACCGGTAGGCAGAGGAGTGGCCTGAGGCGAGGAGTACGTGAAGCGGAATCGCTGAAGGACCTGCTGCACCATGTGTGACTGAGTCAAGGTGATGGTGCGCTGTGCTCTGTCCCGGGTGATCCGCAAGCCAAGATAGCTTGTCAGCTCGCCCAGGTCTGTGCACGTGTGTCTCTTCTGCAGCTCCGACTTCACGTGGACGAGTGCCTCAGTGTCAGCAGTAGCAAAGACCAGGTCGTCTACGTACACGAGAACGTAGAACGGCGGCAGAGTGGTGTCGGTGTGTAGAAACAGCGACGGGTCAGCAGTAGAAGGAGCAAACCCAAGAGCAGCAAGAGTCGTCCTCAGTGTGTCGTGCCACTCACGGGGTGCCTGGCGGAGACCGTAGACTGGCCGCCGGAGGCTCCACTGGGTACCAGGAGGAAACGACCCAGTGAAGCCAGGAGGGCGGCGCAGCCAGATCTCCTCGTGCAGGCTGCCCTGTAGGAAAGCAGTGCTAAAGTCAAGAGAGTGGAGCTCGTAGTCACGCTGAGCGGCGATGTGCAGCAGAACCCGAAGAGTGGTCATCTTCGGGGTCGGGGAGAAGGTCTGGAAGAAGTCAACTCCCTCTAGCTGACTGAAGCCTCGTGCAACGTAACGCGCCTTGAAGACAGGCGGAGAACCCGGCGGCCGCTTCACCCTGAAAATCCACATGCCACTGATGATGTTCGCCCCAGGTGGGGAAACCTCGTCGACGTAGGTGCCTGTGGACTTCCAGGAAGCCATCTCTGCGTCCATGGCTGACTGCCACTGAGAGGAGTAGGGACCCTCCATCGCCTCTGCGTAAGAGCGTGGGGTCGGGATGTCTGGTGCATCCAGGTCTCCCTCAGGGGCAATCAGCATGGACACGAGATGAGGTAAAGCAGCGGCAAAGCACTCAATGTCCTCCTGTCTGTCCTCGAGGACGTCCGTGCCAAGAGCACACTCACCCCCGACGGACGGAGGACAGACAGACTCAGACTCAGCAACAAGGCTAGCGGCGTAGTCTAGACGACAGGCGGCAGCAAAGTCAACAAGCTCAGCGACTAGAGCAGACGCAGTAGTGGACTCAAAGGTAGGGTCAGTGACAACAGTGGCGAGGAAACGCGTGACAGTAGGACTGGCAGCACGAAGAGAGTCAGACTCCGGGTCAGCAAGAGCAAGAAGAGAGGACGCTGGAGGAGACGGCAGAGGGACACGCTGTGGAGCAGTGGAAGGACGCAGAGTCATATAGTGAGTGCCAGGGATAGGAGGAGGACGCTCACGCGGAACGCGACGACCAGTGCGGGAAGCACGGACAGGCGACTCCGGACGAGACTCAGGCGACGCAGGACGAGACTCAGGCGACGCAGGACGAGACTCAGGCTCACGACGCTCCGTAAGACCTCCAGTCGGCCCAGCCTAAGGAGAAGGACTGGGCAGCGGAGAGGCAGGCTGTAACTGTGACTGCGACTGGACAGGTGGTGGACTTAGTAGGGGAGGAGTAGGGCCAAGAACCTGCTGAAGGAGCGGAACGTAGTACGGCCGCGGCCGCGCAGCTCCTCCTGAGCCAGTAGAGACAGCACCAGCTCCCTCAGCTCCAGGGTCTCCAGCTACAACTCCCGCAGCACCACCAGCAGCTCCAGCAGCTCCAGAACCAGCAGCAGCTCCAGCAGCTCCAGCACCGGTAGCACCTCCAGTAGCACCACTAGCAGCTCCAGCACCTCCAGCAGCACCTCCAGGAGTTCCAGCACCAGCAGCACCTCCAGAAGCACCAGCAGCACCTCCAGCAGCTCCAGCACCAGCAGCACCTCCAGCAGCACCACCAGCAGCACCTCCAGCAGCTCCAGCAGCACCACCAGCAGCTCCAGCACCTCTGTAGCGCGAGTAGTCGTCAACAACTATCAAGAAGTACCTCTCGTGACCCTGTCCACGGACGCGGGCTGGGCCCCACACGTCCATGTGGAGGGTCTGTAGGGGAGCAGTCGTCGGGGGAAACGAGGAGGAGTGAGGAGCGGCGCGCTGCCGCCCCTCGACGCAGGGAAGACAGGGAGGAGCAGGCGAGGGTGGGAGGGGAGGGAGAACCCTGGGAAGACCAGAGACAAGGTACCGGGAGTGCATGCCACGAAGGCGCTGCACTGACGGGTGACCAAGGCGGTGGTGCTAGAGGACGGTCTGGTGCGACAGGGAGCGACACGAGCAGGGGGCCGACAGCTGACCAGACGCAGACGCAGACGCAGCTACCTGAGGGGACTCAGTGGTCAGTGTGTACAGGTCCGACCCCGGCTGCCGAGTGAAGGTAGCCAGGTGGCGACCCGTCCGAGCACACGTGCAGTGTGTCACGCGCTCGTAGGCAGGGGTGAACTGGTGGACACCCCCGTCCTGGAGCGCACTACCCGCCACCAAGTTCGTAGAGAACGAGGGGAGGTAGAGACCTGACAGTGTGCCCGACAGGACCGTAGGACAGGGAAGGATAGTGGAGGAGGTCGCAATGACAAGACACCCAGAGGGGTCAGCAAGGGAGACTGCAACCGGTCGAGCAAGCTGCTCAAGGGCAGTGCGGTCACGAAAGAAACAGCGGGAAGCACCTGAGTCTAGTGTGAAGGTGTGCAGTGCCTCAGTAGACGCAGTATCAGCGGGCGCAGACTCACTAGCACCTAGAGCAGCAGCCTCACCAGCACCTGGGGCAGCAGAC